ATCAATAAAAAAAATGGGTTGGAATCAAAAGGTTTCTTGACTGGCTCACTTGTTTTTTTGCCGGAATTGGGGTGAGTCTATCAAAACCATACCTATTCACTATTCTAACTAAGAGCAAAAATACTCCCTAGTAATTTTGAATCAATTATTCTTAATTGAGAGCTATATTTTTTAAATCCTGAATGTTTAAGAGATTGTTTATAAATAGATGATTTACTTTTTGTACAAGAAAGTCACAATCATTATTATCTTTTAAATTTCAAAATGAATGGTACGAGTGTCATTCATTAGACACTAAGTTCCATAAAAAAATTCTCAAACTTCATAACTCACCCCAAGCGGTCCAATTTGATATCTAATAAATGGAAATAGTTGTGACTTCATCATACAAAAAGTAAATGATCTTGTTATAAATAATCCCAATGTCAGCTTGTTTGGGCTTCACCAACTCGTGATTCACTCGAGTTGGCTCCAATTGGAAGCCAAAACTCCAAGAGTAAAATCTACTGGATTTCGAGATAGAAATCCCTATAATTGCTCAAGCATCCCAATTCTTCAATTTTAAAAATTTGGTTATTAAAATTACCAAGGTCGCCATCGAGTCGGATGAAGGGACTCAAGATCGATCCACTGCCGAGTCAAAACCGAGTCCGACTTTTTAAACCAGGGCGTAAACGCCAACCTTGCCCTTTAATTTGATCCAAATTATACTTTTTCCATAAAAGAGAGATCAATACTCTTTTTCCCTTCAAAATTTCAAAATTTTCTTTATTTGAAAGAGATATCTACTACTCTTTCTTCTCCACAATTTGCTTTCTCTATGGAAGGTTGAGCCAAAACTGATAGTCCTCGAGACAAAACCAGATGGAGCACGTGGGGACAGACCTCCAATTACCATGCGACCGAAGGTCCAAACAGGAAATCCCTTTCCCTCCTTTTTTTTTCTTCAAATTTTTATTTTTCCTTTATTTATCAAATTTCTTTTCTTTTTGCTTTTTTTGACTATCCCTTTCTTGGGTCAGAAGGACTTAGAAACTCTCTTTTAAGAAAGGCAGGCACGCGAGAAAATGACACGTGGCAGTCTGCTTCTTTAGACTGCCCCTTCTCACGAAGCCCCATGCCCCTTTAATAAGCCAAGAATAAAGCAAACGACGCAGATCTAAAGTTAAAGCCTCGAATCGCGACCGGTTCGGCCGGTCAACACCGCCAAAGGCCCTTGTACGGGCTTCGATGTGACTTGCGGTAGCCGGTCGGGTTCCTGATGCACTGAGGCCGTACGAGACGTGACCGGTTAAGTACCGTGACTCAGATATCAGATACTCTGACGGTATCGGGAATCTCAAAAATGATCCTCGGTTTTCAAGAAATTACTAAAAATTGCCCTTTTTAGGAGAGGTTAGGATTCGGGGGTAAGGTATTAGCCTTGTCGAAAAAGACGAAAATGCCCTGGGATCTCTCGAGTGACCTCATAAAAAATGATCAATTTTTTTTTAAAAAAAAAGAAATATATAAAAAGATTAATTATTTTGAAATAAAATAACAAGTCAAGATTCGTACAATAGGCTTTAATTAATTTAATTAATTGAAAGAAAAACTATGATGATGATAAAACTATCTACTTTTAATACAAGATATAGAAGCACGTAACTCTTTTGATACTGTAACATAGAAGTGGTAATATGATGTATCCACTTGCTAAAATTTTGGTATCACTTGCTCTAGGAACTTAACATATCAACTTTATTAGAAGAAGCAAATTCGGAATTACATCTTCCAAAAATCAAATACGCCTTTATTCTCAACTCTATTTTATGAAGGCTATTTCTTCCCAACATGCATATTCTATGTAGTGTGAATGGGTTAATGATGCAAAATTTAACCAAATACTTTCACAAAAGAGCAAAAATTGCTCATGTTCTCCATTCTAATTTCTCTCTCTTGGTTCTACAAGTCATTGTCTTGACTCCAATACCTTTCTCTCTAGGCAAATTGATGGGATCACTTTTATTATTTCCCTTCAACATGGTTGAAAGTTGAGACCCATCAACATTCTTATGTAGTGCACAGACGAGGCAACAAGATCATGTGTGTAGCCACTTGCTATGTACATAATACATACAAATAAACTTAGTGAGTTGGTTTGGGAATTTAGGGAAAATTTTAAATATGAAATTATCAACTATTTGACATTTTAATTTTTGACTATATCGTCATGATGATGTATATTTTGATGGAATTTTTTAAATTAAATCCAAATAAATAGGTAAAATGATAAATACTTCATCTCTTAGATGAAGTTTGGTAGGTTATCCTTCAAGCAATTATTTTGATGGATTTCATGATCAACATTATACAAAAGATAGAGTGAAAGGGTCTGAGTCGTGGTGGTAGCACCCCCATGTCAAGTTACAATGCTGATACCACCCAGTGACACCTTCAAAAGAGTTAACTCTCTATTCTATTCGAAAAAAAACTGGTAGGGGACTATCTTCGCCATTGAATTACCCAAAAAACATGATAAAGTACCTATATATTATTTGCATTGGTGTGTGTGGTGATGAAAGAGTGAAAGGGAGTTTTGTTTGAAAATTCAATAACAGGGTTGGGTCCTAGCCCTTGAAGGACGGTTTGGTCATATCGAGAGCTATAAAAAGAAGGAAATGCATATTGGTCAATTTATAGGAAAGTGGAAAGAAATCTATGCCCCAAATTTTGATAGACTTCCGAGTAGGGCCGCATTCTTTTGTACGATAGACAGATTATCGAGTGGGGACAAATTGGTAATTTTATCTTCTTTTGACCAATGAAACTTCATTTAACTGCCAGCTATGTCCAAGAATAGTTAGGACTTAGGAGTGTGCGGCCGAGTTTAGTAACATCGTGGAACATCAAAAGCATATGAGACCTGGCCCTCGAAAATTAAGGCCTGCACCATGTAATGCGGCCCAAGGGCCAGGACAGGGCTGAGAAACCACGGCCCAAGGCTTGTCCGGGCCTGGGTCTGCCCCGGGGTGGTTCTTTAATTTTTGTTCTTTTATATATTTTTTATTTTACTTGGCCTGGCTAAGCCCGACTTGGCATTGTAGGGCAGGTTAGGCCCATGCTAAGGTCTCTTTGGTTGGGTCAGGGCTAGGCGAGGCATTGGCCGACCCTATGGGGGACTAGGGCAGCTCGACCTGTTGTTAGTCCTAACAAAACTATGACATGATACACAACTCCCTCATGCTAAGTTAACTTATAACTAATATGCGGTGAAATCAAGGGTATGTTTGGTTCGTGTTAAAATAATTTTTGGATAGTATTTTCATATGAAAAACATTCCTTCCTATCTTTAGATTTGGGAGTACTTTCACCGCAATCGGTCCCAATACAACTTTTCACACCAATTGACCGCTAATTAGTGTGAAAACATTCCCGCATCTAACTACATGAAAAAACAATTTCACGATACAAAAACCCGATCTGTTGAGCTCATGTACTTTGCAATAGACATATCAGTTTGGTTGAGAGATGTTAAGAGTTCGAATTCTTGAGTTTGATTGAAAAATCCTAATCAACTTGACCTAATCGTTTAATGGATATTGCGACCATATGTATTTGCACACACCAAAGTATAATATACTTTCCCATGATAATATAGATCAAACTCGAGCCTATATCACAGTATACTTCCCGTGTGAACGCAGCGCATGCCGTGATACCATTCAGCATATAAACGTTATGGTACATAAATCATCATCCATCTGTTCTCAACATGAACGGTCAAAATGAATTGTTCATTGGTATTCACTTGTTAATTTAGACAAAATTTTTGCTTGATTGAAGGAACGATCAATCTCAAACATTTCTTGTTGACAATGGACGGTTAAGGATGTTTATGTAGCATACATGCATGTAAATGGCACCATTATAACCAAAGCTTTTTTATTAACGATACATTTAAGTTGGGAGTGACGTAAGTCGCCTCAAAAAATAGTTTCCGCAAGAGGTGGCACGTCTTATTGCTTTTATTACAATGATTCTGAAAGTTATATATCTGCCAATACACTCTATGGCATATCACGAGCTAGGAAAAGGCTTTGACGACGATGATGATAGAAACAATTAATCTCGAACATTTGTTGTTGACATTGGACGGCTAAGGATGTTTATGCAGCATACATGCATGTAAATGACACCATTATAAACCAAAGCTTTTTCATTAATAATACATTTAAGTTCGGAGTGACGTAAGTCGCCTCAGAAAATAGTTTTCGTAAGACGTGGCACGCCTTATTGCTTTTCTTACAATGATTTTGAAAGTTATATATCTTCCAGTACACTCTTTTCTATTTTTCTCTATGGCATATCACGTGTTGAGAAAATGCTTTGATGATGATGATGATAGCATATCACACATTGATTTTTATCGTAGGCAAAATCGGGATTTGCCGGTCTTCTCACATAATTTCTCTTTCCCAAATGCAACAAACATGACTTTTTTTGTACATAAAATCTCGAGAAATTTGGTCGAAATTAAAACGGTCATTATAACGGGCTTTCTAGAACACAAAACAGGGCAAGTGTTTCTTGCTATCAATTGAATTTCAAATAGTGTGCTAGCGCATGCGCAATCGTCCGATGCCAGCAAAGGACTGCATTTTTCATCTCAATGTCCATCACCCTCTTCTCAAGGAATGTGAACACTAGGACCCATACATACCAACCGTCAATCATCAACATCAAATGGAGCTCAAGGTGGTAGCAAACTGTTTGAGACGCAATCGATAGCACACTAACAAATTAGAAATCGTCATTTAGTAGGATTAGTAACACAGTTTTCAACTACCTAAAATAAGTAAGGGAATCCATGTAGCCCAAAATGGATGGTTTTGTGGCAATCGGCCTCAAGGGCATTTCGGTCACAATTTTAAAAAATCCAAAGGATTATGTACATATATTTCGTTCCCTATAAATAGCGACGAAAAGCCTTCGCCGTATTCATTTCTGGGCCAAAAAGTACAGTAAGGTCGGGCACCCGCCCACAATATCAGACAGGCGGAGTTATTTCATAAACTCCACCGGAATCTCGTCTGAAGACGGCCAAACTTCGCCGGAAACAACCAAAATACCGCCGTAAACCACTCCCTCTGCTCATATTCCACTAACTTGAGTGGACAGACTCTCCGGAAAACCACTGAGGTATTGTTTACATTCCATCATTTCGTTTTTTGCATGGTCCATCTCCTATTACCGACCCTGGTTTTTTGAAATTTCGAAATAGTTGAAATGGGTGTCTTCAAAAGCGTAAAATATCTCGACAGCCCCTTTTTTCGTTCGAAAATGAATCCTTTACTCTTGAAATCTGATTTTCTTTTGACATGAATAAATTCTGGTGGATTATTTTCTTTTCAGACGAGGACGTCTGGTTTTTTCCGTTATTTGAAATGGCGGTCATCGCTTGATTTGAGGTCTTTTGAGCTGAAATTTATGTGTGTTTTATTTGATTTCCCTCAGCAAAGAGGGGGTAGGGGGTTGGGCTTCACTGTTTTCTCTCATTTTTTGAGAAAGTTCAGAAATGATCCTTTGCCATTGATTTACCTTCTTAAAATTTGCTTGTTTTTTTATTTGGTTACTATGCCAACTAGTGCATGAAAATCTCTCTCTCTCTCTCTAGAAATGCAATTCTTTCCTCCTAAAGTTCCACTGATTAAAAATCTCTCTCTTCTCTCTGTGTTTTAAGGCTTGGAAATGACTAAAGCGTCATTAATCAATAATTAGTTAAGAGGTCTCTCTTTCCATTGGTTTAAGATCATAAAAAATTAAAAAGTTAGGAACCCAACCCATTTCCGTCTCCCTCTTCCGTTGCTTTTTGTCCTTTTTGTTTCCATTCTAATCAGCATTTGAATGCCTTTACCTTTTCCTACTTATTTCTTTTTTTCAATTTGTTATTTTCAAATAATCGAATACTACGACTATTTAAATTAAAGGAATTTAATTTTTAACGTGCATTTATTTATTGTCTTACATCTAGTGCACCAAAAAGTGTCCCAATCATTTACCCAAATGTCACAATCCCCGCCACCCTATATTTCTCTTTTGTGACGATTTTACCCTCGCTGAGTTCTCTGGTGCTGGCGTTTTATTGGTGGAAACGAAGGGCATAAATGATAAATCTGAATTTTCGAAGTTTGAAAATGGAAAGCTTTAAGCGGGAATACTGTTTGTGATCCCTGTCGCTTTTGTAATATCGATGAAGACTGGTGGTCTTCTTAGCCTTTTTCGTGAGGACATCCAATTAATACGGTTCATAGATCATCCATCCAATTCATTTTTTTGGGTCCATATAAATATAAGGACAATAATTTATTTGCAATGTGTCATGTCCACAGTCTATTTTCAAGATTTTCATCGATTTATAGATCTTTTTTATTTGAATTATTTTTAGAATTTAAAATTTTATAAGTAACGAAAAAAATGATTGATTTCTCGCGCCATCTTAAAAAATTTTATACTAAAATTGCATAGACAAAATTTAGAGGTGCTTATTAGTCATTACTTTGATTAAGGTTGTAACTTTATGCAAACTGCACCCTTAATAATTAATGGAAAAGTATACCAAGAGGCTATTTACTTTTTGGCACAAGAAAGGAGGTCCCAACCATTTTGACCATCAATTTTGAAATCAAATTGTTGCGAGTGTACTTGTGATTAAACTCAAAGCCCAACAAAACATTTATTGAACTTTGTGATATATCCAAATCATCGAATTGGACATCTGGTGGTTAGGATTAAGTGTGGTTTTTGTCTTAAAAGATAAATGATCCCGTAGTATAAAACATCATGATTAATAATGATGTGTAATTTTGAAATTTTTAGAATTGTTTGGTCATTCTTGTATTAGTTGAGGGTTTTTTCAATTGCCATTGGCAGACAAATCTATGCATCGTGGAACCGGCCTGTTAGATCGGAATCAATCACTGGTTGGTTTTGGTTTTGGCCGATCTTGGTGATCTAGCTGTGTATTTTTAAAAATATATAAAATCCTAAAAAATAAGTGAATTGTTTGTAATGCATTTTTTTTAAATTTTTTTCATCATTTCCGTAAAGATCGAAAAATGTTTTGGCCACTTATTTTTACATTTTCCCTTTTTGAAAAATTTCAAAAATACTCTTGAGTACAAATATATTTATTTATTTTTATTAATTTACAATTTTATTTGGAGGTGCAATGTACAATGATGCTTTAAATATATTTTTCATATTTTTTAAATTTGTTATATTTATTTTATTTTTTAATACATTTTTAACTAGAGGGGACTTATCAGGTTAAACCCGTTGAACCAATCGGTTTACCGATTACTTGATACCGGCCGAAAGCCGGTTCGATTTTTCGAACGCTACTCCGTATCGTGCGATATTTTATAAGGAAAGTTTTATTGTGTCAGCGAACTCACCTATGCATGTGAGTAACCCACCAAAATCCATCTTTAACAAAGATTTTAGATATAAAAATTTAGGATTTACTAATTTCAATCAATATGGTGACTTTTGGTAGCTTTTTCAAAAAAAAAGAAATTATTTTTGAATTTTGTCTTTTACGGTGTATGTTGCCTTTTCTGGATGTCATATTTTGAAAATGGACGTCTGATGGGTGAGGAGACTCACAAGTTAAGTCAGCAGCACTCACCACAACCCTCTGGTTTCCCCCACATGTGTGTAGTCGTTTTCGAATGGGAATCTTGTCTCTCTCCACGCAGGGACAAACATATTGTTGGGTAGGTGCTGTTCAGACAATGCTCGTTAATGGCGCTGCTCTGCTCATTTTTCGCGGACATTCTCTGGACTCAATAGCGATCCGTGTCCCTTGAAAGTGAAAAAGTACACGAAGAGTCTATTTATTTTTGGAACTCTTTTCCCATATTTTATTCAAATTGGGTGGTTGAAAAAGTATACAACGAGGCCATTTATCATTAGAAAGATGAGGTCACAGTCACTCTTCAATGCTGATACGTTTTAAATCTGGTGGCTGTAAGAGTGTCGTAGATTGGACTTAAAAAAAAAAATTGAAATTTTGTGATACACTTTAAGCCATCCAATTTTAAGGGTTATGAGTAATTATGACTTCCTTTCGATAGAGATAAATGGTCCCATGGTATAGAATTTCTTGGTTGGATCTTACATCAAAACATATTTTTTTCAAAAAATCTCTGATTTTTTCAATCTGTTAAGAATTTTGCTATTTTTAAAAGATTTTAAAAAATTCTGTTTTTTTAAATGAGCCAATATAAATATGTATCTTATATTTTTTGAAAAAACTTTTTTAAAAAACTTCTTCCATGTAACTTTATCCTTTCATAATTTAATATTATTGGATTTTGGTTTAGAGATAAGCACGTTAAAAGTGGGACTAAATTAAGAATCTTGATTGAAACAAAAAATTCCACTGAAAATATTCACCGTATGTTCCCTAAAAAAATTTTATTTAAAAAAAATATAAGTATTCACCACTATGTTCCCTTGAAATATGCACCACTATAGCGTTGATACATTCAAAATTTGGATACAAGTACTACCCTAATGATACTATGCAAGAACATAAAATAATTTTTTAACGGTTTTAATCTAACCATCCAATAGTTATAAATCATAATCTTATCTTGTGTCATTTTCACATATCCTATTTTTTCACTCCAAGCTAAATTTGAAATATTCACTATCTTTATGTTTAACCCAATGTTTTGGATTCAACTTTTAGGAATAAAAATAATTTATTACTGGTGTTTTAGTTTGCCAACACATTGTTATTTGCCGACTTGCTAACTATAGGTTGGGTTACTAACCTAGAGCAAACAATGAGTCTTGCCGACTTGCTAACTATAGGTTGGGTTACTAACCTAGAGCAAACAATGAGTCCGCATTTTCATTTTTATATGAAGACTACTATTAGAACCCATGTTTTTGTTATGGACACAGTTTTTACGAGTCCACGTAGAAGTGAGTCACCTCTTAAAAATTTATTTTTGAGATGGATTTTTTGACTTAGTTTTTAAAGACACGTAATCTCTAACATTGAGATCATGAATATGAAAGAATAAACAAATTTTAAAAATTAAAAATAATAATCTTGTTAATAAATAATTTGGACCGATATTTTCAATTGTTTTTGGATAGACCACTTACTTACATCCATCTTTAAGATGAATGCTTATACGTCGAGGACTGCAAATGTAGAAATGTGGTCCCCGCCGCATGGTACAATTTTCCTTTATGTTATTCTTACCCAAAACATGGGTGGAATTTACTATACACGTAGCCCCTTGTGGTTTTGTGGGACTAATAACATGTGGGCAAGTCGCCATCTCCTTCATTTTCAGTTAGCTAACTTTGAGCTGTCTTTCTTTGTTCTTTCTTTAAAGCCTTAAACTACTTTTCATTGCTGAACTTCTATTCTGCCTTGCTTCAGTGTTCAGATCCTGGTTGAGAATTCTAAATAAACTATAAAGAAAACATTGATGGGATCGAAGGAAGAAAGCTTAAAAGATTAAGTCACTCTGCTAAAATAAAAAAAAAGAAACAGCTCGAAAACTACAGCTTTCTGAGCCTCTAATTCAATTGGGTACAAGAACTATTTATTACTTCTTGTTAAGAGCTTCTTCTGTGTTTGTAGTCCATTTGTTTTTAGTAGCTTTTGCTAGATTAGTTGTTTTCCATAGCTTTTGCTAGATTAGTTGTTTTCCATAGCTTTTGCTAGATTAGTTGTTTTCCATAAACTGGAGAGCTTCTGAAAAGATTAAATGTACTTTTAAGACTCTAAAACTGTTTAAGATTTAATGTTTTCCAGATATGCAACACTGGTTTCCAATCTGAATTGGTTGGTAATAGTTAATGAAAGTGCCAAAAGTGGTCTGATAATTAGAAACTTTGGTTTTCTAGTTCATAAAAAACTCTCCTTCAAAAATGTTAAACTCTTTCAAGGATTAGCCTTGAAATAAATTGTGAAGTATATTTTTTATTTTTGGATAAGTAATTGTGGAGTATCTAACTATGCATCAATAGCAGAGGTCTTTTGGGATTGAAATTATTTATTTTTCAAGATTGGAGAATCAATACAAGTTGACTATGTAACAGTGGCATTCAGTATGAGAGAAGGAAAAATTGACTGTTAAAAATTGAAAAAGGGAAAGTAAAGGAAAGCAAAGGAGGTAGGCTAACTGTCCTATACATATTTGCTATATAGGATGTTATTATTGCTGGGTCCTTTGATTTTCTCCTTTTATTTGTTACTTTATAAATGGATTGCTATGAACAATAATTTAGTTGGGGGAGCATTCTTAATTTCTTCTGTAGTGTATCTGTTGTTGGATTGCTCTCTCTCTCTCTGTGAATACTCTTGAATGAAATGCCAACTCTGTGGGAGAATTGAGGTTTCCTCTTTGTTAACAGGGCGGGTTTCATCAGCAAGGAAGGATGCTGGCGTGCATTGCTTGCTCAAAGCATTTGGATGATGGAGAAGAGGAGGAAAATGCACGCGGCACTCCAAGGAATAAAGATGGTGTCAAAAGCATCACTGCCCAGGTCCCTTATCTCTCTCTCCGCATTTTTTTCTTTCTTTGTCGTGAGTTTACTCTGATTGATGAGGAAAAAACTTCCATGCCTCCCCAACCCCCAATTTCTCTTTCTGTGGTTTTTCCTTCTCTCTTTTTCTCGTGGTAGCTTGGAGCCATTTCTTTTGTCACACTTTCTTATAAATTATGGGGTTTGCATGAATCTCTCTGTCTCCGGTTGCCTTGTGTTAGGCTAATTCCTTTTTCTGAGGGACAAGCTTCAAGATTCAAACGCTGAAACTTCTCTCTTTAAATTCACAGATAAAGGACATGGCCTTGAAATTCTCGAGTGCGTACCGGCAATGCAAGCCATGCACCAGTAGCTCCTCTTCTTATCGGAAGGGCCGGCACCCATTCTTAGACATCGATGCAGCCTCAGAAGAGCCATCAAGCTATGCCTATCATAGGCCAGGGAGCTCTTCCTCCACACCAGCTTGGGATTTTCCAAGCCAAGGTTCAGACCCACATGCACTAGTAGATTCATCGAGGTTCAAGAGACCATTGAGCCTAGAGGGTTCGAGTGGGCTTGGTGTGGGATCGGGTCGTGTGGTCTTGGAAGAGGAGGAGGAGCCAAAGGAGTGGCAGGCTCAGGTTGAGCCTGGTGTGCTCATCACCTTTGTCTCATTGCCTGGAGGTGGGAATGATTTGAAGAGGATACGGTTCAGGTAATTTCATGGTTTGCTCACCTTTGCTTTTTTTTCCCGGAGATGTTAAATTTCTTACAGGCCTTAGGGTTGGACTGCTGCTCAGTCGACCCTAGAAAGCTGTAGGTGGGTCCAGGGCCAGATCGGCCCCAGAGCATACTGGGTCAGGACTGGGTCGGGGCCAAACGTACCTGTTTGCACCTCTAATGGTGTTGTGGTTGGTTCCTTGGTCTTATAGTGTTATGGAATGGGTTCCATTCTTCTTTTTTTTGTGGGGAAAAAAGTAAGAAGTTGGTTTCTCTAGAACTTAATTATTTTTGCCTCCTTCTTTTTCTTACTGACTGATTCTTTTTATATTTGGCTTTCAAATTGATCTCTGAACTTGTTCTCCTTTGATTTGGGGTATGCCACAGCCGTGAGCTATTTGATAAATGGCAAGCACAGAGATGGTGGGGTGAGAACTATGACAGGATTATGGAGTTGTACAATGTGGAGAGGTTCACACGCCAAGCAGTCAACCTTCCTACTCCCCCAAGGTCTGAGGATGAGGTACCATCTCTTAATCCCAACAGTCTTTTCTTCTGAATGTCTTTCAAATAGTTTGATCAAGTATCATCCTTATATGATATAGTATGAGCATCATCATCCAAGCCTTATCCCAACCATTTGGGGTCGGCTATATGATATAGCATGATGAACTCTAAAAAATTGGACTGCCTGTTGCAGTTACCATGATGCACTTGTGCAAGAAAGAACATAAAATGGTTTCTTCTAGATCACAAATCCTACAATTAGCTGACCATGGGCCGGTACTGGGCTTTGGTCTGTCTGGGCCCGAATGGGGCTCAAAGTCCTGGTCCACACTGTGGACTGAAATAAGGAAGAAGGTTGGGACCTTATTAACATATTATACTGTGCTTAATTGACTAATATTTAGCATTGCCATATTTGATATGTAGAGAGATGCCAGTTCTAGGGTAAATTCAGCTCGAGAGAGCCCTGTGACACCCCCTCTTGCCAAAGAGCGAACACACCGGAACTTTTACCGACCCACTGGGAAAGGATATTTTTCAGATTCGGCAGAGAAATGGGCATCAGCTGGCTCCAGTTATGGTGGCTACAATAGCCATATCTTTAACAGTAATAGTAACATTAACAATAATAATAGAGGGGAGACTTCATCAATAGATGCTTCGAGGACTACAAGCTCATCAAGGGATGAAGCCTCAGTGTCATATAGCAATGCAAGCGAGGCAGAAACAGAGTGGGTGGAGCAGGATGAGCCTGGGGTTTACATTACAATCAGGGCCCTGGCCGATGGGACTCGTGAGCTTCGTAGGGTCAGATTCAGGTGGGTTTTTGGCTCTTAAGTTTTTAGTCTCTTTTCATTGGGATCAAAACTGTTCATTGCTTTGTTGGACAATGATGGAGAAGGTACGATCATCTGAGCTAGACAAAACGTCTCTCCATCACTGTCCAACCCACTGATGGGTCATGATGACTCGAAGAAGTCCGGTTTTATTTTCAGTCACTGCTTTCCTTTTTGCAAGTTTACATAGTGACTCTTACGCCCATTCGGTTTTTACAGCCCTTGCATATAAAATCTGTAAGCTAGGAGTGCCTACAAACAGTAGTGGATTTTTTTTGTACCAAAAATAAATGGTCTTATGATCTACAACCCCAATTACTTTATCTAGAAAATGCTGGTTGGAAATAACTAATTTTCCATTATGTTTCATTCAATAAAGGATTTATTCTAATGACTTGCGGGGTTTTGGTTATTTGCAGTCGTGAAAGATTTGGAGAAGCCCATGCGAAGCTCTGGTGGGAGGAGAACAGAGAGAGAATACAGGCTCAGTACCTCTGATAGCACATCCATTAAAATGCATAGATATGGTCAGGCCGGGAGGTCTGGAGGGTGGGGGGCTGCATGGATACATGTGGGAGGCGGCAAATATTTTTCCCTTTTGACATTTGAGTTCCAATTTTTCCCTTTCTTTTTCTTTACCTGGGAAACGTTCACATAGAAAATTCATGATTAAATTACAATACAGCAAAGAAAAAGAGTGATGTACTTCATGTTTTGATTTATTGGAATGGGTTCTAATTTTTGCTTCTGTTCCTCATGTCCCTTAGAAACTGATCTTTTTCTTCATAATAAACTCATTTAGTCCAAATCTCTTATACTGTGGGCCTCCATAGCTATGGGCCAACACTCCAGTTAACTAATCATTCTCAAAACTTGGGGCTCAAAATCAGGTCAGGTTGACGCCACCGGTCCCATTGAGAATCTGTTAGTAGACTCTTGGGTCCAGGTTGGGATCAACTCAATCCAATGTGTGTGCATCACCTTATAATGTAATTTTGACATGACCCACCCACCCCACCTGGGTCAAGCTTGGGTCTGCACTGGACATACCTCTTTACACACGCACTCGAACAACATATTCTATTTCACAGTCTTGAAGATGAAGATTTGAGCCAATTCTTACTTGCCAGATCCACATGCAATGCACACGTCTATATTTGTAGCTAAAATATATTTTTAGTAAAAATGTAATAATTTTTTAAAAAACTATATTACTTAAAATTTGATTCTTTCGGATTAATTGCCAAGGTTTGAAACAAATATCTTACTACCTCCTAAAGTCAGGATCAATTTCATAGTATCCCCTCCAATCTTCTAAATATCTAGCTGCATTACTCTTTTTCACATTATTTCTTCCTGTCCCCCTTCTCCCCTAATTCCCACAGTTTTATAATTAACCCCTCATAATTGGCGTTAAACGCAGTCATTATCCCATTTTAACCATTTCCCTTTGTATGTAAACAAGCAGAGGGAGAATGGACTAGCTCCATAAGAGCTCTATTTATTCGTCAAATTATTGACGTAATTGGGATTCTCCTAGCCAGTTTGACCGGAATTTTGGCCAGAAAATAGTGGAATCTGATTGGGTTCGCTGGGAAATTAGAGTTTTTGAAGTGACGTTTGGATGCATGCTTACATGAAAAAAATCTATTTCTTTTGAAATGTATAACTTGAGAAAAGTATTTCTTATAAAATAGATTTTTACGTTTCGAAGAATATACGGATACATAACAATTTCACGGCTTTTTTTTAAAAAAAAAATTTTGTGAAATATTTTTTTTGTATTATTTATTATAATATCATTTTTAAAATTTAAAATAGTTTCTTTCTAAAAAATTTGAGATAATTTCTCAAAAAAATTTCAAGTGGTTTCTCCCTCTAAAATTTGATATAATTTCTCTCTAGAATTTTAAAATATTTTCTCTCTAAAATTAAAATTTAAGATTGTTTTTCTCTCTAAAATTGTTGAGATAGTTTCTCTCTCTAAAATTTGATATAATTTTTCTCTCTTAAATATTAAGATGTTTTCCCTCTCAAAAGCTCAGAATTTGATACATTTGTTATCTCTAAAATATTTGAGATAGTTTCTCTCTTTAAAATTTGATATAGTTACTCCCTCTAAAATTTTAAGATATTTCTTTCTTTAAAATATAAAATATGAGATAGTTTTTCTCTCTAAAAATTTTGAGATTGTTTTTCTCCTAAAAAATTTCAGGTAGTTTTTTTCTCAAAAATTTGATATACTCCCTAAAATTTTAAGATATTTTCTCTATCTAAAACTTAAAATTTAAGATGGTTTTCCTCTTCAAGATTTAGAGATGGTTTCTCCTAAAAAATTTCAAGTATTTTCTATATCTAAAAATTAAAATTTGGAATAGTTTCTCTCTCTAAATTTTAAGATATTTTCAATCTTTAAAAAATTTCAAGTACTTGCACTTTCTAAAATTTAAAATTTGAGACAGTTTTTAAATTTTTAATGCAGAAAAAATTACATAAAAATCCCCAAAATGAGGCTTTCTAGGCAACCTACCCCCAACAGAGTTTTTAGCAACGTTTACCCCAAATTGAATTTTTCTAACAAATAGCCTCCGAATAAAAAAAATCATTTTTTTTAACGAAAATGCCCATAGTGCCGGACTGTATGCCCAAAGTACAAGACTACTCCTATTTTTTGTCAGACCGCATGCTTTTCAAAATCCCAAAGACCACCCCTATTTTGTGTTGGACTACATGCCCAAAGTGCCAGACTGACCCTATTTTGTGTCGAATCGTGTGCTTTCGAGAAGCAAAGTGTCGAACAGCCCCCATTTTGTATTGGACCACATGCCCAAAGTACCGGACCACCCTTACTTTGTGTCGGACCACATGCTCAAAGTGTTGGACCGCCCTTATTTTGTGCCGGACCGAATGTTTTTCAGAAGCAAAGTGCTGGACCGCCCCCATTTTGTACTAGACTGCATGCTTTCTAGAGGGTATTTTAGTCTTCATTTTACCTTTTCTATGACTTGGGGGTATTAGTTAGGAAAGTTAAATTTGGAATAAAAAGTGAGAGAAAAACATCTGGAGGGGGTAAGTTGCATAGGAACTCTATTCTTGGGAGTTATTTGTAATTTCTGCTTTTAATATACTTTCTTTCTCTAAAACTTAAATTTTGATATAGTTTCTCTCTAAATTTCTTGAGATTGTCTCTCTAAGACTTAAAATTTGTCATAGTTTCTCACTTTAAAAATTTGATATAGTTTCTCTCTCTGAAACATTTTTAGATACTTCTCTCTCTAAAATTTGGTATGATCTCTCTCTATAAAAACTTTGAGATAGTTTTTCTCTCTAAAACTAGATAAAGTTATTCTTTAAAATTTTAAGATTCTCTATCTCTCGAACATAAAATTTGAGAAGACCTCTCTTTAATTCGTGGGGTGTTTTGGCTGAATTAAATGGTATTCTATAAAGTGGATGTTTCAATAGCAGGGAAATCTGGAAATCAATTTCTAAGCGAAAATAACTACTGGGGGAAATATTTATCTATCCCAAAATTTCAATCCAATCTGCCATCTCCACATAAAAATATGTATGGAAATGTATTTCGAAATATCCAAACAACGCCAAAAGGTTTAGAAGAAGATGGATGGACAAAAATTTGTAGGACTTGAGATTTTCTAGTGGTTTTGGATGGTATTTTGACCAAGAAATCGTTGGGGTATTTTTTTGGCTAATAAAGTATTGGGGTCGGTCTTGTTTACTCAGAAAAATACTAGGGCTTGACAATTTGCAACACTATGTCCTAAA